CTTCTGGAGTTCAGGCTTCAGCCTGGTTTGGCCCCGCGCATTAATCAAAAAATTCCGCCTCCACTCCTCTAATCAAATCTCTCTCTCTCTCTCTCTCTCTCTCTCTCTCTCTCTCTTCGCCTGTTCCTTTTCTGCAATTTTCTCTGCAAGTCGTCTTGCTCTACCGCCTCCATTCCCTAGTAGCCTCAAGCTTTCCTGTAGGGTTTTCGATTTCTATCTTCACAAGCTCTCTCTCAGTTCGCTCTTCAATTTTTTTTTAAAAGAAAAGTCAGAAGAGTTTTTAGGGTTTAGTTACTATGAGATTTTGTGGGACGACTGCCAAATATTCTAAAAGAAAAATTCGAAATTAGGACTTCTTGCTCTGATAATGTGAGATTTTGTGGGATCACTGCTAACCACTCTAAAAGCTTAAGCTATTAGATGAAGGCGCGGTTTAATATTTAATTACTCTAATAGTTACTTTCCTTTTGTGCTGATCAAAGTTTATATAGTCCTTCTATCACATTTCTTGCCAACCTTATTTTTTATCAATCGTTAGCAGGCAAACGTGCACGAATATCTCCTTCCAATCAAGATGAAACCGGAAACTCAGTGGATTACATCAGCCAATTACCCGAGGCCATAATCTTTCATATCTTCTCCTTCTTGACCACAAAAGATGCTATCAAAACCAGCGTCTTGTCCAAGCGATGGCGTTCCACTTGGACCTCTAATCAGTATATGAGTTTCTCTTTGCCCCCTGGCAATAGCCGGAAATCTAAGAGCTTCATCGATTCCGTCGACTCAGTGTTGTCACGCTGCACCGCAATTAAGGTGGAAAGATTCCTCTTTGATGCTCCTTGTCTTGCCTCGATACAGTCAAGTCTTGATAGGTGGCTCCTGTTTGCCTTCGAGCACGACATCAAAGAGGTATCGATAACCCTGCATTACTGGCGCCGCAAAATTTATGCGTTGCCACAAATCTTGTTCTGCTGCACCACTCTGGTGAGTTTGTGCGTGTCCCAATGCCGTTTTCCCATGTTCGGCACTGTGAATTGGTGTTCGCTGAAGACATTGCGCATTGAATATGCGGAGTTGAACGATGATGGGATGGTGAGAGTCTTGAGTGGCAGCCCTGTTCTAGAGTTCCTTGAGTTGAAAAGTTGCGTGGGCATCAAGCACATCATGGTTGAATCAAAAAGTTTTAGAGAGTTGGTGATCGATTCTCACGAGTTTCGTGGTCAAGGTTCAATGTTGAAAATTTCGGCTCCTCATCTTCTCAAATTGCGCCTATTGGGCAATTCTCAGGGGGGAGAGTTCAGACTAGATGAAATACCTTCCTTGATTGAGGCCGAGTTAAAATTTGACATGGAAAGTTTCGCACTTGATAAGATTAAGGCTCACGGCGATCTTGTCAAGGGGCTTCTCAAGAGGCTGCATCATGTCACGAAATTGGTGATGGGGAGCTGGTGCCTTAAGGTGGGAGCCGATTTTTTTAGCCCTGTTATTTCTGGTTCAAGTTGCGGACATACATTACACATTCTGCCATTTGCTTAGGATAAATTGTGATATTGTTTATTGGTGCTTGATGATACCATGCTCATAAATTGTTACTTCAGAGAATTATTGTCATCTTATTGAGCTTCAGTGGAATTTTTGCTAGATGAGGCTTTTTTCCTTACGTAATAGAACTTAACTGATATCACCTTTATTGGGTCCAGCATTACATTGACTTTGATAAGACTGAAATCTGATGTCCTTGTTTGCTCATTCGTTTGGTCTGTCTTGCTATTGTGAGAGGTCTTTGGACATGCTTGATCTTCTTTTGTGCTTAAAGAAAGTAAAACTGATCAGTTTCTGCTTCTTCCACCACGATGATGTGCTTAGGTGCTGTCGTTAATGGAGGCGAGAGAAGTGTTTCTTCCATCCTTAGAATGTCGGCATCTGATATTACTCGGCGCAGCAGACCATGAGGGAGTTCCTGTTGTAGCGAAAATACTCGAAAGTACGCCGCGCTTGGAGAAGTTATTCTTACAAATAACTTGCACACCCAATTCCGTGGTACATTACTGCTAGAACTCTCTCAGTTCACTTGGTTAATTTGACACCAGATTCGCTTGAACATATATAGATTGTCAATTTTAGCCTGAGGCTGCATATAAACCTGTAATTTCTTTTCTTCTCATGATTGAAAATCATCTTCGTACCTCTGTCCTTTTAATTGACATTTTGGATTCTCAATTGATTTATATTTCTCTTATTCTAGTAAATGCTATTTTATACTGTCAAACCTCGATATTTATCTCATCTAGTTCCAAATGGGTATCTCTTCCTTAGTCATGATGTTCTATATCTGCAGACTGAGTCCAATGCAGAGAGTGTATGCTGTCGCGACTTTGATGGAGAAGAATTTTGGAATTCTGCGAAGTGGAAGATCTACCAGTGTTTGATGCATCTCAAGCATGTCGAGATTGTTGATCGCGGTGCCCATTCGGTGGCATGGGAACCTGTTCTTTCCCTGCTCAAGTTTCTCCTCCAGAATGCACTCTGGCTGGACCAAATAGTGATCAATAGTACCAATTCCGAATCGTCCCGAGCAGTTGATCCATGGGGGCTGCTTGAAGTGGCCCGGATTCTTCTGTCGCACCCAAAGTGTTCTCCAAACGCGAAGGTCATTCTTAGGTATCCTTCCCAAGGATGTCCGTCTAAACGTGTGCGTAAATCCTGAATATTTCATCAAAACCGGCGACATCTTTTCCTCCGTTTTGTACACGTACATTTGCAGGAGATGTGATTGATTGCAACGCTGGGGCAGAAATTTGAAATAAAACTTCCCTTTTCCGTTTTTTCAACTGGATGCTTTTAGCTCAGCTTAATATTGTTTCATGAAGTTGCAGTGTGTCTGTCTCATAAAGCAGCTAATAGGGTTGTTTACCTAAGTGAATAACACAGGTTCACAAGCACTCGCTTGTCTTACACAAAGAGCGCATCATCCTTTCACAAGCACTTGCAGAAGTTTCACATAGCGCATCATACTTTGAAATACAGTCTCTCTGAGTGAACTCAACTAGAGGAATGCACAATCTCACTCAAAGATTCATGGACGTACTAGAGTTGGAATCATGGATGTAGGATTTATCTGTCATAGTTTGTTGGTAAAAGGTTATGATAAGTTACCAACTTTTATTTGATTATTTCCGAATTTTTGACTTTTGTAGTAATTTACCAAAATTTATTTACATAATTTGCAGTTTTAGCGTTATATCTCCACTATCATATCAAATTACCAGTTTTAAATTTGAAAGACTTACCAACCATCTTTAATTGAGTTACTAAATAATTTGAAGATACCTAATCTTATTGATTGGCTTATCAATGTTTTTGCGATTGTTTTCATATATTAACTTTTAATAGCGTAGCTTGTTATGTTTTAACGCTATGAACTCTTTCATCAAATTATTAACCATAATTTCAGTGACTTACAAACTTAACCCTAATTTGAGTGATGTAAAAACTTCTTTTTTTGATTGATTTCCATTTATATTTGAGTAAATTATCAATATTTATTTGATTATTTGATTGTTCTGACGAAAAAACATTATTTTATTGTTTTCAAATTTCAAACATTCATTTGCATAACTAATTAACAACAATTTAGAGGTACGGACTCTATCAAACTACTAATTCTGATATCAAATTAATGACCTTAATTTCAGTAGTTAACCAACTTTTATGAGATTACTTTACCATTACTTTATATTACCAACTTTTTTCTTCGTAACCTTCATTTCATTTTTTTCAAATTACCAATTTTTATTTCCGATAAATACCAACATTTTAAAGCTAATGTTTTTATCGGTACACCGATCTTAATTTAAGTGAGTTACCAAGTTCTTTTCAATAAATTAGCAACTAGTTTAAGGCTATTAACTTTTACATGCGTGACTTGTCTAACTTTATTCGATTGTTTAGAAAATAAAGAAGTACTTATTTGATCGTTTTCCAAATTATTTCATAATAACTAATTATCTATTTGCGTCACTTACTAATGTTCCAAATTTAACAACTCTTACATCAAATTGCCAACCTTAATTTGAGAGGCTTACTAGCTTTTCTTTGATTAATTACTACTAAATTTAGGTTGTCAATTCTTGTTTGAGTAACCTATCAATATTTATTATAATGTTCTGACATATAATATAAGGAAAAAAAAGTACATGATTTCGCCTCTTGTATTAACTTACCAATTTTTATTTGCGTAAATAAAAATGAGTCCTGCCTTGCGTTATCTATGAACCTAAAAATTCCTAGGAAGAGATAGATGTACATGATCATCTCAATCTTTTGTAAATGGATCGTTTTATTTAAGGGAAGGCTATAGAGATTATTGTACGAAGGAGTTTGGTTTTCCGGTGTGAACCAACGCCATCATAGATATTGATCATATAGGTTCTTTGGGGGGGGGGGGGGGGGGGGTGGGGTGCATGCTATGACAGTGCTGGTTTAGATAGACTGAGTCTATGTAATATTTGTCACGTATAAGTTGCAGAGGCACGATAACTCCAATCGGAGCACTCACCGGGAACCAAGGCGCCTATGCTTTTGATACTTGCTAAAAGGAGTCTCACATCAATGTAACTAACTTGGGGCATGATCCCACATGTTAACGGCCATGTGCGAATCATCAACCATCTGTAGTTCAGAGGTCACCACACGCCATTCACATAAGAAACTCCAACTTTACCCAAGAAAAAGGGAAAGTTGAACTCGTCCTTGTAGGACAAGTAAACCATCTTCACAACCTAACGAACAAATACAGTGGTCTTGCCATCTGGTTACGTTGATTCGTCCACATGATCGAACCATACAAAACTCGAAATGTAATGGAAAACTATGAATTTCAAAGGAAAAATTGCTAATGACAGTCAGAGAAGCTCAATCCAAACAAAATCCCAAACTCGAAAAACTCAAAATGAAGCGAGGTCAAAGCATTTGCTAAACCCAACTTCTTCGCACACCGCCAAAAGTGGCACAAAAAGAGAAGCAATTTTATTTACAAATCAAAGCTACCTGGGTCATGCAATCTAGGGGAGTGCTGGCTACCTGCGATCTGCTTATGCTTCATAACTCACGAGGGAGTCCATTCAAACGATACTTGACTATAACTTCAGCATTTCGAGAAGCTCTCCGACAGCCTTCTTGCAGCTGAATCACATCGTGAAAATCACCAAGATCATGAGGGTCAATGGGTACTCCTCCACGCGACATCTTTAATTCAAGGACAATTATCATCTTCTCCAATCCAACTGCCTCCTCGAGAAGAAACTTAGCCAGGGCAAGCAAAATTTTTGATTTCTCATTGTCAAGTTCGAACCCGACAATTTCAACCCTTTTAAGATGATTGGAAACACAACAGAACTCCTTCTGTAAGTGCCAAAATTGCATTTCATCAAAGTCCAAGAGCTCCGAAAAATCCTTGTACTCGAACTGAAAACACATATCGACAGAGGCTTTTTGAGAGCTAATTAATAGAAGCGATAACGTAGCACTGGCATTAAGTTTAAAAATAAAATGTAAAACAGACAAGCTTGTCAGATCTGGTATAACAGGTTGTAAGTTCTCACGGACCCAAATGAATCAATGATCACGTCCTTTGCTACAGAACAGTCAAATTTTTTCATGCAGCTCCTATGCATCCCAGCTTTATTACACACCAATTCGTGTATGTTAGGTATATCCAAACGTGCGTAAGACATAAATGGCAACAAGGAGACTCGATTGTACTTCAATAGCTTCATGGTAAAAGCCTGAAAGTAGATGATATGAGGCCGACTGCGAAAGCATACATGTAACCATGTCCAGAACCAAAGATAGATTAATACTGTGATATTATCAGATTCTGGATTGCATATGACTAGCCTTTCAAGTAGGGGAGAACTCTGCAGCAAGTACACCATCCCCAGATGGTCGCTTTTACAAAGTGTAGTATACACTTTTTTTTTTTTTGATGACCCAGGGAACCCCCGCACGGCTGACAGCTGGGAGGTAAACCCTGGGGGCGACACGTGCTAGCCACCACACACGTGCACCGTGTCGAATATCTAATTCGATCCTATCAACGATGCAAGAAAAGTAATGAAAATTCGCACAACACAAGAATTTACGTGGTTCAGCAGGGGAGATATTCCGCCTACCTACGTCCACGGGGAGATGAGATCTGTTTCACTAATAACGTAGAAAAGTGTACTCACTCCCTCCTTCTCTTCTTAGAGACCTGTTTCGCCCTAAACATATATAGCGAAACCCTACATGGCACAAATTACAAAATTGCCCACATAGCCTAAAATATTTAGCTTTTCCATATAACAGAATACAAGACATCATCCTCAAAACACCGGTTAAGTCACCCTGCGGCACCCGGGATTCGAACACTCAACCTTTTGCGAAAGGAAGAGTGCGCGCTCCAGCAGCGCCACCCAGGCGGGTGGTAGTGTAGTATACACTTTGATATTACGCCATCTCAATGATGGGTATGGCGTTCCCTTTACCTCTGCAGCTGATAGAATCTGCAAACAACTTGATTTGTGAACCTAGTGGCAGAACACGATACGACCACTGTTTTACTTTCTATATTTACCAAGAATAAAAACGTTAATACGAAAAGACCGCTCATTTATTATGACTTAGCTGTTGAGGTTCATATATGTCTGATATAACATTAATATCTTTTCCATATATGAGGAATCACCTCACTCACTGCTTGATCAACAACTGCTTTAGCATCATTTGATGCTCATGGAACAAACATAACATTGAAAGACCGAATAAGGTCCAACCATTCAACTTACCGAGTTAAAGATCAGACATACGATTTACCATCAAGCATAAGCTTTTACATACATGCATGTGCATGAAAACTGCAACCGGCCACTCAGCTGATAAAGAAAAAGGGTAGTGTGAACCAATTTAGCTACAACAAATACTAAGAATTTGATTAAATTGGTGGTACTTAGCGGAGCAAACTGAAAATACATTAAACCCGATGGCTCTTTTCGTGCATTTAACATGAGGGGAAAGAAAACCAATTTGCGCACGACAAGATTTCCTGCCATCTGATACAAAGGTTTAAGAGCGGAATGGATCAGCACCAGCTTACAGGGACAAGGACATATCGAAGTATCAAAGAATATGCCTAACAATATTCTTTTAGAGGGAATTCTCTAGTATCCATTATATATATATATATATATATATATATATATATATATACTTCAATAACATACCCATCAAAAAGGAAGAAAGACCAAACAAAATCGACTCGCACCTCAAGATGCCAGCTTCCGACCGTGATTTTCGCGACATGTTGCAGCTGCTCAAGAAGGAACTTCAACTGGTCCGAAAAGTAGACAGGTTGCAGCCGCTCAAGTTGGAACCTCAACTGGCCGGAAAAGTGGTCAGGTTGGCGCTGCTCAAGAAGGAACTTCAGGCCAGAAAAGAGGTCGACGAAAGCAGTTCGCTTGTCAAAGTTCAACTCCACCTCCGCCAATGAAGATACCCCCATTCAGTCTAAAGCCCACGAGGAGAAACCCGGCCCACAAGCGCAATGAAGCAAATTCGGAGCCGAGATATCGAGCGACGAAATGCAAACGGCCTTAATCACCAGCTCTCTCAGAGATCTTGAATCGATCCGGACGCCGCACGTGCTGTGCAAGAAACTCAACGTGAGAGATTCAAGAACAGGGCACCCGCTCAAGATCTTCGCAATCCCATGGTTGTCCAAGAAAACGTCGTGAACCCACAATTTCTTGAGCGAAGGCCAGCGGATGGTAACGTCCCATGAGAATCTACAATTCGACATGCGCAAGCTCACCAGCGACGAGCAGCCGCACAAGATCCGAGGCACGAAGTGACACGAGTGTCTGAAGACCAACGAAGCGTCTTCCACCTTGCGCGCCGCAGCGAGGCCGAACCACCGGTCGAGTTCGGCGGGCATGCGTACGTCGGACGCGGTGGCATGAAGATGGAACTTCTTCATCTTAGCTGTGCAGAGTCTCAGTGCTCTGTTGACCAAAGGAACGACACCCGCTGACGGGAGAGAGAGATCGATGTATGGAGTGGAGGTCCAAGCGAGACACCATTGCTTGGAAAGCGCGGTGGTCTTGACCACGTCTTTGAAGGGCAAGAAGGAGAAGATGTGGTGGATGATGGCGACCGGCAAGCGGGTGATGCGATCGACCTCCTCCTCCTCCGCCACGGATGCCTCTCTCCCCCGCCTTCTTGAATGAATTTTGAGGGGAGTTGTAGGGGTTTTACGAAGAAGGTGTTGGTGGATTGATATAAAAGGGGACAGTGCAAAAAATTCCTAAACCTTTATTAATTCCGTCTTAAACCTTTTGAAAAACTTCAAATAAACAGCTCTTATTTAAAAAAATAAAAACATAAAGTAGACATCATCTCAAATAAAGATTTGAAGTGACTTATTAGTTTTAAATAAGGGTCTGAAGTGGCCAAATCGTCTCGAATAAGGACTTTTGGCCGGCCAATGATTATTCCGGCGTCGGAGAATGGGTATTTTAGTAAAAAAAATTAAATATATTTTAATTTTTTTTTATTTTTTTACTTTGCTTTCCTTTTTCTTTTCTTTTCCTTTCTTTTTTTTTTCTTTTCTCTTTTTCTCTCTTCCCTCTTGTGACCATCGCTGGCAACCTCCACCAGCCTCAGCCGAGGGCCGCCCTTGCCGGCGTTGGGCGAGGGTAAGGGTTGCCCTTGCCAACATCGGGCGAGGGTCGCCCTTGCTTGGGCTGCAAGGATTGCCCTCGCCGGCGTCGAGTGAGGGTCGCCTCGCTAGGATGGATGGACAAGGGCAGCCCTTGCCCAACGCCGACAAGGGTGGACCTCGCTTGAGTCCGGTGATGTTTGCCGGTGACCAGCAGAGGAAAGAGGGAAAAAAAAAAGAAAAGGAAACGAAACGAAAAAAACAAAAAAAAGGAAAATTTTTTTTTAAAAAAAGGATGAAAATGCCCTTCAGCCAGCAAGGTCATGCGCTTTTTTGAAACTAATAAGCTACTTCATTCTCTTATTTGAGACAAGGTCCACTTCAGACGCTTATTTGAGAAAATGATAGCATTGACAATGTTCACTTCAAGCCCATATTTGAGAAAATGAGGGCATTTCATGCCCTTATTTGAAATTTTCACTCAAACTTTTTAATTGGATCAATTTAATCCAAAACCTTTTCATATTGGTACCAATTTATTCCATCCAGCCAATTTTGACCGGAAATAACTGATATGGACATTGACCGTCGGCACAATTGGTGTTGACGTAGACAAATTTTATAATTTTTAAATATTTCTTTATGAATTTTTTATTTTTTTGTTTTTCCATTGCGAGCCCTCACTACCACAAGGACCAACCTTCAACCTCACGGCCTCTGGCGAGGGCTTGGCAACCCTTAAAAAAAATAAAAAGATAAAAGATAAGAAAGAAATAAAAAGTTTTAGAAAAAAATTTAAAAATTGTAAAATTTATCTACATAAGCGTCGATCGTGCCATATAGAATGATCGGCATTTATATTGGCGATTTAGGATTAAATTGGTACCAATATGAAAAATGTTTATGACTAAATTGGTCCAATTAAAAGGTTTAGAACTGAATTGATACCAATATAATAGGTTTATGACTTTTTTGGTACTTTTCCCGACATGGAAAGCCAAATCAGATCACTAAAATCCACACAAATTAGATTTCAAATATTATTATTATGAGATTTTGAACATTATAGCTTGGTTATAGACAAAGTAGCACAATGGGGAGATTTTAATTTTCATTAAATACTTTTGTTGACCTTGCTTGACCCACCAATCAATAAAACACACAAAAACATGCACATGAACATTTGACACACGAAAAAGAAAGTGATTTGGGCTATTTTAGTAAATGAATCCAATTTATGGTAGTATGAGAACATTATAAGTAATTTTAAATCTTTAAAATATTTATGACTAAAGTATGAATTTAAAGTGATGGGGTTGCCGTGTTATGCGCATATTAAAGGACTATCTTCAAATTATCTTTTTTTGTCAATTATTTAGTATATACTTTTGCTTTTCATCTTATAGCGGGCAAGCATTTTATCGAAATTCTTGGGCCGAAATATGAAGTTGAAAAATGCTTTTAATTTCCTTTGCAGTATAGAGAGATTGAAGAATTATATATTTAATTGAAACTTTTAACTCAAAACTAGTTAGAATTATTACACACAATTAAAACAAAACAATCTTAGATAGATTATATGCCTCCTCCAAAATCAAGCAAAAACCATTAAAAAAGAAAACGATGCAAGTTTTTCTATAATTGTAGAGGATAGTGTATAATCGCTATTTGAATCCAAATTGATTAATATTGGTGATTTGAGGGGAAAAAGCACTCAAAATATAGTGCAGAAGCATCTATAACCTATAATATATGCATATATCTATATATCACTTTGTTTCTTTAAACAGTTTCTTTGAAACAAAAATTGAATGTATGATTGCTTTCTAGGAGCCTTTCAAAACTTACTATCATCATCGTTTCATACCTTTTCTATTTCCTCCACCATAACATATCTAATTAAGAATCCTAACGGATTTCCATTTAGTGCAATGAAATTGTGCATCGAGGAAATACTTCTATTTATCTGCTGTTACTAGTGAAGGGCGCACACAGGCTGTGTGCGTATGCAAAAGATTGAAATTTAAAAGATTTTGCAAAACGACCTTATTACGAAATATTTGAATTATTAATTAATGAGGAAAGAAGTTATTCGCACAATATGAAGAAACTTGTACACATATGCGGGAAGAAAGGAGTGTTGCAGAATTTGAATTCGCGAATGTGTGTCCATCTTCCATTAGTCAAAATTCCACACCCAGGGAAGAAACTTGAAATAAAACTTCCCTTTCTCTGTTTGTTCAACTGATTACTTTTAGCTCAGCTTAATATTGT